CCCTCCCTCCCTCCCTCCCTCCCTCCCTCCCCGGCGGTATTATACACTCACACGGTAGATTGAGGTTCGAGAGTACAGTAGAAGATTCATATTCGCGTATTTCGTATACTCGCGGTTCGTTATTTGCATTTCGTTTTTCATATTCGCGATCCTCGTAGCTCATTCATTCGCGGAGGGACGGCGCGTAATTTACATTTTTCAAGGATATGGATTTAAAGCGACTCAGAAATAAGCTCTTCAATTGTTGATTGCTGTTTGTGAGTTAAATTAAATTGACTCTGCGCTCTTATTATATTAACGCAACGTGTACTAACTCTTATATTTATATTTGTTATTATTATATTGTGTTTATGATGCCTAAAATTTACATTTGATGCAAATTGTTGCGTTACATGCCAGCTATTAAACGTTTTCCGTTCGCTTTCTCTCTCCCTCTTACCTCCCCCTCTCTCTCTCTCTTTCTCTCTCCTGATTATATAATATTTATTATATTCGACGACTACGGCTCATAAGTTTTGTCATCAAAAGATAAGCTGCAACGACGCGAAGACAATAAGAGGACTAAACTCTATTAGGAACAACGTGAATGGAGTGGAATCGAGCTGTCTTTACGGGCGCACTCCGGCGTATCGATCGCCGATTCTGGTAACCGTCTACGAGATCAGAGCCGAGATTACTTTCATCGTTTTATGCCCGTTACGTGCCACGTCGCTGGCTGGCTAGCTGACTGGCTGGCTGGCTGGCTGGCTGGCTGACTCTCTTGGCCGCGTTCTCTCTGCTCGTGGAAAACTTTCTTTCCATGAGGAGAGGACCTTTCGTCCTTCTTCCTGTAACCGGCCAATCAGTGCTCGCGGACGGTACCTATTGGCGACAATAAAAGACGAGAAGGTGGCGGCCCCCCGACGGGGGTGACTCATCTTTTACCCTCGGAATGGAGAACTTCACTGAGCCACGCGCTTCCCCCTACGTGCTTCGATGTGACCGTCGCTAATTGCAGCGTCGTTAAACTCAGTCGAACAGAAATTCTGGACTGCTGTAGATAAATTTCAGTTTGCTTCCATTTAATTAATTGTTTTCACGGACAATAGTCACTTCTCCCGATAACTCGCGTTCAATAGTGATTATAATCTTAAACATCTATTTCAGTGGAGATCATTAATCGGCATACTTATATGTCAGTTTTTCCGCAAATAAAACGACAACAACATGCATTACTCACGCATATACTTTCAACTGGACAAACGCGTAATCGTATTCGTTTAGTTGCGCGATGCGATATGCTACGTCCATTACGGAGCATAATGTATGCGGTTGTGATGGTGCATACTAATTGTTTAGATAAGCGCGAATCCGAGCGCTCATTTAGAAACACCGGAATCGGCGGCTGTGCCGGCTCGGTCGGCTGCTTTTTTGCGACCTTTTTTTCCGCGAGGATCCGATTTGCATACGTTGCTCGCATCCTCCTGTGGCGCACTTTTTGCTCCCCTCTTTCCGAATAATTCAAAACGCATTACGCAATTGAGCGTGCCTTTTTTAAGGGTGAACGTTGCAGCGCGATATTATGTGTGGTAAGTAAATTCGTTAGAGGAAAATATGCGATTTGGTTGATTAAATAATGCTGATGTGTTGCACAATTAAGTTCGGCTCTGTTTAAAATATGTACGCTCAAGTTAAGTAAGTTTTAATAAGCACGCATAAATAAAATCATGTCATCTTAAAATTTCAATTCCACGTAACGCTTGTAGAGATTTCGGAATATTTATGGAATGCATTATTTATTACATGAAAAAAAAATTTAATTAAAAATCACAAGTATAAAATCATTTATGCAAAAAATTATATAACGTTAATGTAACATATAACATTATAAAATAAAATAGCACTTCTATATCGATATAATAGAGATGTTAATCTAATTATTACGCTAAAAAGCGCTTGATAAAGTGAATTATATCACACTTTGATTCGTAATTTGCTAATGAATGGCCGAATTTAAATTTCAAAGGACTTTGGATACTTCATCTATTTATGATTAATAAAGTGGCCGATTATAGTAATTAGGATGCAACGCGCGTGATCGCACCTTCGGACCGCGATTTACCTCCGCCGGCGGAGTTCCATTTAGCAGGATTCGAGGTTCGCGCACAGTTATTCATTCCGCGCGCGAGTTTTTCCCGTTTTACGAGCTAAAGCTGGCAAAGAATTCCGGGAAATTATTATACGGATGCATTCGGTAGACAAGTCGGCCGGCGTAAGATAATGAGGTAATAAGGAAATGAAACGAATGTCGTAGTTGTCCAACGGAAAAGGAGGGAAAGAGAGAAAGAAAAGATAGAGAGCCATTCATACGTCCTGGCGATCCGTTTATTTTATGCCTTAAACGCGTCGATAAATTGGAGTACGCCTATTAAATCTCCCGTTATAGAGTACCCTCGTTTATCCGAAACTCGCTCGCTTCATCGTAATTTCCCGGAATGTTCCTGCAGTCTTGGTAACGAATATCGCGAGAAGAATCGCGTCAATAATTATTTTCAAATGTCAAATAATTACAATAGAGTGAAACGATTGGAAAATGCCCTTGTTTCATGCTATCATATACAAAAATCCTCTCGATTTATACACGATTGAAAATGAAACTATAGAAGCTTTGAAAAAAAAGCATGAAAAATCGAGATGAAAGAATTTTAGATTTTTAACAAAAAAATAATCACTGGCATGTTTCATTCAGAAACGAAGGCTTGAGCACAATTTTTGGAGGTGTTTTATTTCAACGTTTGACGTCACAAATCTCGTAAAAGTTTATCTAAAAAAAAAAAATGAATAGCTGCGTAAATATGTTTCAAATAAAAAAAAAAAGATATCAGCGATTGTGTCTCACAAAAAGCGAAGGTTGTAGGACAGAAAGAGAACCGCGTGTACTCGAAAATCCGCGTAACCGGTGATTAATAAAGTAATAATACGACGTGTCGCGTCTCGTCTCGTCTCGTCTCGTTTCGCGAAGTTCCCCACGAAATTGTCAGTCAGCCAGGAACGCAAATCGCATCTCTCGCAGCGTGAAACTGTTTGTGCCGCGAGTTTCCATTTAAGTTCTACGACGGGGAACTCGCCTTCCCTACCACGGAATTCCGCAGAATTGAATTTGCACGGAATAACGAAGTAACAGTTCGCGTTTCGCGAGCAATGTGCAAATACATTTGTTCGTTCTCTGTTCGTTCGACCATCTCTTCGTTCGTTTCTCCTAGCCGCACTCCCGACAGCAAACCTGTCTCGCATAAAAATCGACCGTCACCGTCCCTGTGCTGCCTTCGTTGTGTCCCCGAGCTTTCGGAGCTTTCGACTCGTCCAAGTCGCGCCGACGATCCCATCTTTTGTTCACGTAATCGTCGCTGCTACATTCGTCGTACGATGAATCGCGATTCTGCACACAATAAGAATTGCAAGATGCGGTTTGGTCATCCGTTTTAAGAATTTGAGACAGTGTAATGTAAAATATGCAATATAACATATGGCTTTTCGCAAAAATCGAAATAATTCAAAGCGATACGAAAACTGATAGCGAGATATATGAATTTTCTTATTTCTACACGGAGAGAATTTTTTTTTTAAATTTACTCTGAAAATCATGTTAATTGTGAGACAATATAGTATTTAGGTAAATTTTACTGTGCACTACAATAAATTTTACTGCAAAATCTTATTGTAGTGCACAGTAAAATTTGCCTAAATACTATATTGTCCCATAATTAACATGATTTGCAGGGTAAATTTAAAAAAAATTCTCTTTGTGTATAATAATAAGTGTAGTTATGCATAATAATTATTTTTTATATCTTAATAGTTATCTTTAATATTTTATGATAATTACTACAAAAATAATAACTGGCCTGCAGTAACGCACGCGAAGAATAAATTAAAAATTATACAATAATATACTTTTTGAAATTTTGACTTTGAATATTGAGTTTTCTCAAATTAAATTTTTCGCGAAATTTCTAATTAAAAAATATTTTTCATTTATAACATTTATTTTAATATTTATAAGATATATGATGTATATACATTTCTCGATTGTCATTTTTAAATAAATTCAAGCGCATTTTTTTGCACAATTTTAACGAAAGCTACAACTTCGAGATATCTATCATCAGAGGGAGTGTCGTCGTATCAAATTTCCGCCGCGTGAAAATCGGCGCCGACCTCGTCCGAGGAGCCCTGAAAATATTTTCCGGCGACGATGGTGGGCCACCTTATATAGAATACCACGATAACGACGACTCACCGTGACCTGGTTCGCACAAAAGGCGTATCCGTGCGATAGCTTCGATTGCGACCGGCAGCAACGAGATCCGCCTTCTTCTTCACGCCGAGGACGCTCCTCCGAGACCCTGAGAGCTCTCGCGGCCTCGTCACCCATGGAAAGTGTTTTCTTTGTCATACGAGAAGCGTCGTTGATGTTAGCACGCTATCTGTGTACCGTCTTTCAGCCGATATACGGATAGATATCGGTTTTTTTTTATTCCCCTCTGCGACGACGTAATGACGCGTAACGAATGCACACGAGACTATAGTGACTACAGTGAATGAGGCATGTAAAGCGTATGACGCATCAATTTCTCTTAAGGCATTAATTTTAGAGAAAGGTGTTTTGAGTAAAAGATTGATGAGACTTTAAAGACGAATAACAGTAAATGGAATGATATAATTATATCTGTATATTTAAGAGAACAATAGGCACAATTTTTTAATTATGATAGAGCTATTATAGCTATCAAAATTAGCGAAAAATGCCACCCCAAACGTCCAGATGTTACTAAAATTAAATAATCGTAAAAGTAACGCTATTACAAGATTTAGCTGATAAATTATTTTCATTTTTTTTTTTCTTTGAAAATGTACGCACCGTCAATATCTGGCATTTCGAAATTACAATCGGAATTCTAAGATTAACCAGCCAATATGCACGCATCGGAACCAATCTGTTGATGCGATTAGCGTAACGATGTGATACCGCTCACCTGGCGATATCCCGGTTGTACTCGCGAGTTGCTGTATTCCGCCCGAAGATGACATGGTCGTGAATTCGCGAAATCGTTTAATTTCCCGCGACTAAACGCGCATTTGGACGAACAGGCGATCAGTTTGCTCTTTGCTCGCGTACAAATTCCGTAATCGTAACCGCAACGCGGACACAGCGTGCGCGTGCTTTTGTCACGTCTCATCAGCAACGGTATGAAGCAGAAGGGCCAGCATCTGCAAGAGGAAGGGCATCAACGATATACGCTCGTCCTAGTTTTTCGTTAAAGCTTAATAAAAAAAAACGTGAGACTTGTGATCTCGCAAAATTGTGTAGGATACAAAATTGTGAACGTTATTAAATTGGAGCTGGAAACAAGCGTATCTTTCTCTCTCTTCTGTTGAAAAATTTTAAATTTTTTATATGTTACAATCTATTCTTATTACTTTTGACATTGCTTTCTGTGTATTTTTCTAGATTCTCATTTTGAAAAATAATCCTGATCAAAATACGGCGACAAACCGCATGTAGAAGCACTTTTAAGATAATCAGCAGACAATCACAAGCGTCTTGTTTCTTTCATTATATCAATTAATAGACTTATATATAATTAATAAAAGTACAGGGATGGTAGAATTATCTCTACATATGCGTAGGGGAAAAGAACCATGTAAATGCATCGTAAATGAGATTATTTCCTGATGGAGGCTTACATCGCTACATAAAATCGCGTTGCACTTCGCTAATCAGGTTTAATGAAGTGAATATATTTCATTTTGAAATACGGCATTACACGCTTATCGACAGTCACTCGTCGTGATTTATGAGAGCGAGTAATTTCGCGATTTCCGTCGCGTATGAATTCAATTCGCTGAAAACGGACGCCGCCGCGGCCAGGATTAAATTTAAACGAAAGGGATTTAATGATTACGATTCGCGGCGATTCGCGGCTCCGACCGTTTTGCGCGATGCCCGCGCGTTGGTCTTTTGAAAAACCCGTATATTATAAGGGAGAGACTATTCAGAGAGAATCCGCAGGTGCGCCTCGCTAATTAGCGTCGTTTTTATCGCCGCTAATAAGCGATTATCGAAAACTTGTTTTACCGCGGCATTGCTTTATCGGTACGAATTTACGCGAAATATGGGAACATTTGCAAGCGAACGTTAAAATCCCTCTCTTTTTTTCCCTTGATCGTTTCTATTTATTTAATATTAAATTATCGATTTATCATGGCGCTTTCATGGCTCCGTTGAATATATAAATGCGAGTATTATTTTACACGCGCGCACACACACACACGCGCGCGTGCGCATTGCGATTGAGATCAGAGTTATGTAACCTGCAATTTACATTATTTTTCGCCACGTATCAACGTGCAGTTGCAGCACTGCTTTTGTTAAATAGTTAACTTCAAGGATTTCTTAATGACTAACCCCATTAAACAAAATGCAGCCAGACGAGAGCTCGTGAATTTCTGTTGTTTTAATATTATCGGTACTTCCTTCACGCCACACGCAGGACAACGAATTGATTCGTCGTGGTATTTCCATGTTTCAACTGTAAAAATATACGTAGCGTTAGACTTATGCTGGCTTTATATTCAAATAGGTACATACCGTATTTATATTATATTCTATTTAATAAACTTCTCTTCGTAATAACAATCGTAAAATTTTTTATTACTTTAAGCTCGACAAAAGGAAAATATAAAATTCCCCCCGCTTTCTAATTTAATTATGTTCCTTTGAAATTTTTAATTTACTCAGAATTAATAAAGATCGCTCTGTGCAGACCTTCCGTGGAGAAGACATTGTTCGGTCGTTTCGGCGCGCGAGTTTTACCATCGGATGCTTTCAGTGTCGGAATCCACGGGAGCAACATGCCACTTGGTGACGGCCCGCTCCGCTTGCATTCCGCCCTTTGTGATTTACAAAAGCGCGCCGCTTTCTAGAAAGCATAAATTCATTCGTGAGCGTCCGATAAGCATATACCTGGGCTCCCCGGTGGGTGCACGCGCGCATTTCGCAGCAACGAGAATACGCATACACGCACACTCGGGGCGTAACACATTAATGAACAGAATTTACGAACGCATTTCTAATTACTGTTTTAAACGCGCGGCGCTCAATCGCGTTGTTTGCGGTAAACCGATTCGGGCCGCCGCTACGGCCGCTGATTACAACAAAATCCGCGGTTTAATTACGAGCATAATAAGTCATTATGGAAATCGCCCGTGAGCTGATGATCGCGCGCGTAACCACATATTGAAATGTTTGCATCGCGTGGCTCGCGGCTTTTTTTTTCTCCGCCGCCGTTGTTTTGTAGAACGAGATCGAGTATCTTATTTATCTCTTTCGATGAATTCAAAACTTAGCACTGTTATATTTTAGCACTTTGTTTTATAGTAATAAAACGTCCGTCACAAGCGAACCATTCGCACGCGGATGTTACATTATTTTAATGTATCTTAATGTATTTGTGAATTTACAAAATTATGTTTATGTGTTGTGAAACATCATATACAGCGTAGTACAAACAAACCTTTGGTCTCCCGACGTGTCTTTGTATTCTTGTAAACAAATTTGCAACACTGAAAAGTTTAGTCTCGCAAATTAATTTCTCGTTTTCGAACCACGTTCATTAGCGGAAACGTATAAATTCTAGCCGAATGGTAGTCCATTTGTTTTATTTAAAATATCAAGCGGGTCTTAATTATTCATGTAGATAACAAAACCATGTATTGATGAAGTACTTTATTAAAATATAGAATAATAAAACGTGGCGCGTTAATTAAGCTCTTCTCTTTCGCGATGAACATAATTGTGTCGTTGACAATCGACATCGAAATATTAGTAGCGAAACGAGCGTAATGTTGAAAATGCTTTATTCGGAAAGAGCACAATGACGTTTGTTATCGCCGATACGTCAATAATGAACGTCCACGATTCCGCGCTCTTTATTAATTTCCCAGCGATTCTTCTCTCGTAGTTCGCGCGCGCAAGCTCGCGGGTACGGGCGATGCAAGTCTTGCCGCTTTTGTATCCCCGGCGCCAGCGGGCTTGCAGGGCGTCAGCTTCGCGTTTTTGTACTCGAAGGTGCCGTAAACGTAGCCGCACAATGGGCAGATGATGCGAACCCTCTTCGCGCGCTTCATCATTAACGGAATAAAGCAAAATGGCCAACATCTGTTGCGAATCGCCCTGCGGTGAGAACCTGATAGGCACCTGGTTGTGCGCGTATCGCGAGCATAAGACTGATCGTACGGAAATTGCAGTTCGCTCAAAAGAAGCGATAGTAATAAAAAATAGAGATTATTTTTAAAAGATTGAAAATCATCAAGAACCAAGGAATTTACGTTCAATTTTAATCGAATTTCGATTTTCAATTTTAATTTCTCGAATCAGAGGAATTCTCAGAGGACACAGGAGATCAATTAGATAGCGGACGTAAAATCCTTGGCCGCTTGCGCGCGAATTAAAAAGCCGCGAGTTCTAAATTTCGTCTGGCTGACCATGCGTATCGTGAAAAGGTCAGCAAAAAGCTATCTCTCATTAAGAGCAGTAACGAAGGTCGCAGCGAAAGAAACGGTGTTACATATATAGGAGGCAAAAAGTTTTATCAGATAGACGCGAGAGTTCTGTAGGAGTCTATGTGGAGTCGTATTCCAAAGAAGTGTAATAAATCATTAGAGATAGAGCAGCAGGACGATCTCCTATATCTGCCAATAATGTTACGCGATATATTTATCAGAGATAGTGCTCTAAAATTAAACGTGCGATTGATTAAATGAATTGATTGCTTAACGAATTAAATATTTTTATATAGATAATTTTTCACGACAAATTATGCGGTGGTTGAAATATCTTTCAATAACGATTTTTTATTCTAACATTTTCTTTAAAGCTCCCCCTTTGTTAATTTTAATTAAATCAATTGATCTTTGATTCAATTTCGTGTACGTACCCGAAAAGGCAGAGGGCTCCGATATGTGAGGTCGTCAGTTTGTCGCCGCGCGTATGAAGCGTCGGCACAGCTTCCCTCTGGCATTGGGGGCAGACTTTCCTCTCGCCGTGTAATTTCCACGTGTCCACTGCGGACGGCGAAAGCGAGTTTTAAGCCTTAACGCTTTCACATCGACCACAATCGGAACCACAGACTGTCGTTGCGCTGGATAGACCGCAGACGACAAAACATTCCCTCCAAGGGCCGGTTTTACCGACGTCGCTCAGCTTTAATCGCATTTCAACCATTTTTGTAAATATTGAACGACTGTCTGTATGTATATTATATAAAGGAGAAGGGATTTTGGTTAATCGTGGCTGGGATTCTGACCGACGTCAGTGCGACCGGACCTACGTGAAAATTTTAATACCGATTTACGATCTTTGTTAACATATAAGAAATTTTAGATCCTATATGAATTATTTATATAGACATATTTTTTTAAATATTAAATCAAATTAATAATTAAAATTAATAATAAAACAATAAAAATGAAAAGTGATGTGTATATTATCAATAATAATATTTGAGAATTAAATCTCGATATTGCGCAATAATCTCTGCTTAGTCTCGTATGGCCTGCTGCGTAATTAGTGGAATCCGAATGCTCTCTCGTTAATCAACGATTCTTTTCGTATTGGCCTACTTCAGATATGGCGAACGATCACATAAATTCAAGGCGGAAATAGCCACGGTGACTCGCGCCAAACATGGAACTTTAGCGTTTACCGTATCCGAATTAGGATATATCGCGAAAGCTCTCTCGGCTACCGTGCGGCACGTAAGGTTTAATCGCATCGGTATCTACCACGAGTAGCGTAAACTTTCTTCGGCTCGTTCTTCTTGTCGCTACTATCGACTGGCGTGACCTGAGACGAAATCCGATTCGACGATATCCTTAAACCTCCGTTCGTCTGAAAAAAGTCGAGAGGAAGTAAGGGAAACGCAGTCGTCGTCGAGCGTCGTCGTGTACGTCGTCACGTGATTCAATTTGCGAGCGCAATCGTGCGGAATATCCATGAAAAGTTCTCTTTAAAAGTAGTCATAGATAATTATCGTTATTTTTTTAATTAATTTCGTGGCCATTGATGACTATGATGGCTATCTTGTGATAAAAAAAATTATAGATGAGACTTTATGATTGAGCCATGTAACAGTAATTAAAATTTTTGATATATTTTTTATCAAGATAAACTCTTATTTAATCTTAGTTTATTATAGCAAATATATTAGAGATGACTGTAGATATGAAAATGATGAGAAAAAAATGGAAATAATTTTTTACAAGTTATCAATTAAAATAAATAATATAAAAATTTCGAAACTCTGTTATATATTACGAAGACTACATTTATCACACACGAATTTTTTTGACACTTATTGCACGTGTAGCAAGTTTATTTCGAGGATTACGGAAGGTCATTCTTATATATCGATTTTAGAAAATTTATATGTTCTCAACCCAAGAGACTCACGGGTTGAAGGACTGCGGGATGGATAAGAAGAAGGTCGAAGGTGGAACGCAAGACGATAAAGCCACCACAAACATGAACGTGCAGTCTCCGCCTTTTTTGCGCGTAATTTCCGTACGATCCTCCCATCTATCAAGTTATCTATCCCATCTATCAAGATATCTAATTTCTCGGGTAGCACCCCCAGAATCGAAAAAACGTGGAAGTTTAAGAACCGAAATTGACCGAAATTTATGTAGAGTCTTGTAGATTTTTATGTTATGTAGATTCTTACCGTCACGAACAGATATGATTCGAAATGTGAGGTATTTAAAGAGTAATGTTAAATACGCGAGATATAGCATTATAAAGGAACATAATTTTTTATAAAATAAAGATATATATATATATATATATATATATATATAACATTTTATATCTTCTGACGTGTGTTGATAGAATCGTATCAACATTTTGAGATTCCTTTACTGCTATATTTTACACTTATTGTGAAAATACTCCTTTTATGTTCCTTTTATGTTAGTTGAAAAAGCGAACGTTCATACTTGATTGTTCAAACATTTGCCAGCGATCTCGGGATGATGTTTACGGATATGTGTGAGAAGTCTGTCCGTGTCTCGTTCCTCGACACTTACTTGCTTGTCACATACTGGGCACCAGGTTGCTATGTACGACTATGTTAAAATAGACGTTTGGTTAGAATCGAAATATAAATATATTTGAGTAATTATTTGATGGCTTTAGTTAGCTGCTCTATTTTAACTGCAATTTAATTTTATAATTTTAATGAAACATTTCTTATTTAAGAATTTAAATTAAGAATTATTCGTCTCGTCGTTATGATAAGTAATATACGAGAATATAATTTGATAACTAACCTAATTAAATAAACCTATCTAACCACGATATTACATTAGCTTTTCGATCTGGGATTAAAAACATTAGAGTGCCATGTATGAAGATTGAACCGACCTTCTCCTCTATCATGTTCTCGAGAGCGTGTGTTTTCGGCTTCCTACGAATCCATCGAACAGACTCAAACTTTCTGACTATGATTGATGTACAGTTACATTGACAAACTGAAGGCTCGCGTGTGAGTAGCGGATCGATAACAGCGAATCGAAGTTGTTTCTCGAAAGCGACTCCATTACGTGCACGAAATTGCTTCGGCTTTTAACTTGAATATACCCCTCGTGCATATGCAAAATAAAGAAGCTGGAGAATTACTATAAATACAGAAAGTACGGATGAAAACAAATTTATCTATAATGAATTAATGAACAAATTACGAACAGATTATAATTGAACGACAAGCATAAATTGAAAGATATATAGATAAGATTTTTGGCAATTAATTTTTTTTGTACATGAAAAACAGGCACGCAATGAATAAAATTACAAGTGTTATTGTAATAAATATCTTAATGAAGTCCCACGAATCGCATCACGCGTCACGCGCGCTCGTGCAGTAAAGTCCCTCTCGTAACCCGGATATTTTCGCGGTGTGAAGCAGAACACCCTGAGCCCAGCGAGGACTTTGTCACGTTTTACAAGTTTCTCACCGGAGCGGAAGTGCTTCGCGAAGGAAGCAATCCACGAGGTGTCGCCGGAGAGGTACGAGCCGGAGGAAAAAGGAGCTTTTCCTGAATGCGCTATGAGAGGTTGAGTCAAAAGTTTTCGCAGGCGGGAACAAAGGCTCTCTCTCGGTGCAAAAGCTCGTCACAGACGACGGTCTCGCTTCCGTTTCGCTCACCCGCAGGAGGAAACTACTGGTGGTTGCTTCCGTCGAATTCTTTTAACCGCTATTATGTACGTCTATATATAAAATTTCCCGCGGTGTTTTCCCGACCGGACGCGTAGAAATTCTCCCTTTCTCCTACGGCTTTCGAAGTGTGCCCTTGACTTCGATCGGGAAGGCGAAATGAATTTCCGCTATTTGCGCTGAGGGTGAGAGTGCGAAGAGGGTGCCTTCGTGATAAGTATTTAGTATCGTGAGAAGTGAAATAATGCACGACCAAAAACTCATTCTTTCAAGCAAAACTTAATACAAAGACCTCAGATCGCACGTTTTCGAGATTAATTGAATAAAAGTATAAAGTAGAAGTATTTGATGATAAAAATTTTGAATATTTTAAAAATATTTTTGTGGCTAAAACAAAATGTTTAATTAAAAAAACAACAATTTTCAAAAATTAAATATAAAGTTAGCCTTCCGTGTAGAACATAAAAATAGAAATATCCTTATATCTCACTCTCTCTCTCTTTCAATCTCTCTTCTCAATGTTTCTCGAATGTCTCGATCAATCTCTCGATTTTAATGTTACTTGACGTCGAACTTGCACTCTATTCGTGTTAGGTCGTGACTAGGCAATAAGAGAAAGCAGCGTTTATCCGTTCGAAGATATAGGACACCCGATCATTAATCCCTCAACCGCGGAGAGACTGGCGTTGTTCTCCACGGCGTATTGATATAATACCTTAAATGTATATAATACTGCAGCGCGTGTCCGCTTTTCGATATCGGGCGTATTACTACTAGCCTAGTCGTTGTAAATTAACAGAGGTCCGACGCGAAAGACTGTAATTGAATTAGTGGTCGAGAACACGTCTCTCTCGTTCCGGTAGTGGGTCAGGAAATCAGGTCAGATGGAGGAAGAAGAAGAAGCGGCAGGCGGACGTGGATAGAGTGGTGCCAGGTGGTGGTAGAGGGACTCCTCGAGTACCGTTAACCGCGTCTGTACCGTCGGCCGTTTTCTTTATGCGGACAGACGTGGGCACGAGGAGACACCGAACCCGCGCTCGCCATGTGGGTGAGGGACGCCCACGCGCGTACGCGATCATAAACAAAAGCTCCGCCGCGTAAAAATCTCAGCCGCCGCCGCACGGAAAAATCGCGCGGCTTAGGCGGTCGCTAATTGAATGATATAATAGAGGGAATGATACAGACCTAACACCTTCATGATGGGCTTTTACAATCAATCGATACAATCGAGAATGGCTAACTATCGCCACTGTCCGGATATCGCAGTACGCTTATGCAGCGTCTGATGAAAGGATTTCCTCTTAATCGCGTAATCTTTAATCAATTGAGAGTGGATTTTTTTAGCGACAGAATCAGGACAGATTTGTCATGTTCTGCAGCAGCATTCCAATTTTTAATAATAAATATTTCTTCTGCAATGACAGTCTACATTGAGATTTGGAATTGAGTTCAATTTTTTCGTCTTTATTTAATTTTCAATATTTTGTAATGTTACATTTTCTCGGTGCATATTATTCATTAGACAAATCCCGCTTTCTTGTATATAAATTCGTACTGCGAAATATATCCACTTCACACACAGTAACATCCTGTACTCCTTAACCGTTTATAGTCTTATCAGATATGACGTTATCAAAGCATCGTCTGGTTTAATCGCACGTTGTTGCACAAAGACGACCACTTACACCGGGCCGGGCCCGATGTGTGATATCTTCTCGATGCAAATCGTGAGAGAATATGTTTGCGTATGCCGCCCAGGGCATCATTGTCGACTGGGAATGTCGTGCGTGGGGCTGCGAGCCGAGATCGTGACCCGATCTGAAAGAAGCTCCGCCGAGTTGAACGTATTTTTGCATAATTCGCCATTTTTGCATATACGTTCGCTACATCGAGAAGGCTCAGAGGGTCTTGATGCGTCGGTTTACGGTTAAGCTCGAGCTCGTACATCATTGAGTCTCCATTTAACGGTAATGCGATTCTTATGGGAAGAGCTGTTATATTTTAGGATTTTCTAAATTCTATATTGGTATATGGATCTTTTCTGAAAAAAAATATGCATGCAAGAGAATACTAATTCACGTATAACAGATAATTAATCTAATAATTGAAGAATATACAAATAAATCTATCTGATTAATTGATTAGGTAGATAATTATAAATCAGACAAGTTATATTTCGACGTTGCTTTTAATTCATGCATTATCATTCAATTCATAATGAGACTCTATATTTGTTATCTATACTTTTATATTTAAATTGTATGTATATTTTTATGCATGTATGCAATTGAGACAAGTGATTTATTCTTATGAGATGCGGAATTTGGTATCGAGACTTTTAAAGCGAGTCGACATAAATAACGACGTGGATACTTTGTTTTTTTGCTGTATTGGTCTCTGTATATCCCCCTCACGCCTATTCGATAGCTCGACAAAGGAAAATTTATCGTAATTAGTCTCTCCCGCCCAGCCTCATCGACGAACCGAAAAGAAAAATATCCCGCGCCTTACTCCCAATAAATATCGTCGATAAAGTACCGATAATCTCGAGTCAATTACTCGCGGCAGATACTTTGCTTCATTTACAATGAATCACATGTTATACACACCCTTTATACTCAGCCACGCGGTCGAGATCCGGCGGATGCATTTCACAGGCGGATGTATGGGCTGTATTGCGATAGTGTCAAGTTACCGCGAAGAGGAGAGAATGGTATATACATATAACCAATGTGTTCAAGTTATATTAAAAGGATTTTCTACAAAAATCATGATTCTATTATTACACGAATACGTGTGAAATCAAATACTTTGTGAAAACTGTTATAGATGATATTTCATATGTTATTAATAAGAATTTGATTAATGCGAAGTCTTTTTAAAACTCGTGCTTTTACAGAACAGCGCACATGTACGTAAACTTCAAATTGAATAAAATTTTATTTTATATTAATATCGCAAATCTAAATTTTTGTAGTGCAAATGTCGTTAATCAAACAAGAAGTATTACTACATTTCTCATTAATGAGAAACGGAGCTTTGTGTCGCGATGCACTCCCAAGGCTCTCGCAATCCGGCTCTCGGCCGGTTCCGAAAAAAATCAGGATAATTGCAGTCCCAACGTCTAACAATAAGATAGAGGCCGGCGCAGCAGCATGGCCTGGCCAAAGCCCCCGTGAATTAGCGTACACGATTGTGCCGCGCGCAAAAAGCGGTTGCACATCCAGTTGCGGATGTAATTGCGGTGGCGTGCACGACCACCGCGCGCGCGCACGCGGTGTTTTGCCGAGTTTAGATAATTGTGGTAACAGGAGGTTAACGTGTCCTCAGCTTGTACAACCTCCTTTTTCTTTCTCCCCCTCCCCTCTTCCCTGGGTGAGGGGATTAAGTAAGCAATTAAAAGATATATCTACTTCCACTTGCCGTTCTCGATCGACGCGCGACGTCTCGTGTTGGAGCTGCAACTAATCGCAACGATCAGTCATTATCAGTCATTATCAACCACCACTTATTAGAAACAGTTCGAGTAAACATATGGTTCAAGTTTTTCACGAAATGCAATAAAGTTCCTTTCCATCTGCCAAGTTTATACGTTCCGAATCCCCAGTATTCCATTATCGCAACTCGACTACGTTGTCGACGCAAGATGGCTTATCTTGTCGGCTTACCAATGACAGATATTATTATCGCTTATCGCGCCGGCAGAGGCGGACGCTTAAGCCAGGGTGACACCATCAGAACTACCCTACGCCTTCTTATCGCACAAACGCCAGCAACTCAGTCCTCGTCGTTTACGCGTATCGTCTCCGCTCTTTTGACACCTAAACTTGAGCTCGAAATTATCGAGGTATACTTGAGGCATAATAAAATTAGCATAGCGCTTTAAGGAAAATTTAGTTGGTTAGCACAATTTTCATAACAGACGAATACTAAATTGTCGATGACGATAAAAGATAACTCTTACCGTAATAATAATTATAAAGACATAATGATTAATAAAATAACAATTAATGGTATTAAAAAGGCTGCAATGATAACGATGCGGCATCACGTGCAAAAGTAAGACCGTAAAAGATAACTCGTACCGTACTTACGTATAATAATAATTATAAAGATAATATGATTAATAATTATAATGATTAATGATTAATAAAATAACAATTAGGATGATGATATTAAAA